TTCAACTATTCCAACACGTCTGTAAAATGCAAAAAGACAGAAAAGAGCTGTCCTGAGTAGCTTTTCAGCAGCTCTAGATTTCTTGAAAACGAAAAAAAAGTTCTGAATATTTTGACAAAAAAAAAATGTTTCAAAAATTTTCCCATTTTAATGCGTTAGTTTTAGAGTTCCTGTAAAGGTAAAAAGTTCTGAAAAAGTCGAAAAGTATTAACTACAAAAAAGAATTAAAACTTTTTTTGTAACTTAACTATTTCCTCTGTTTTAAAAATTGTTTTTTTTGTGTGTAAGTTTGCAGTTTTTTCCTTTCCAGGAACTCTAAAACTATTGAAAGGCTACTCTTGACAGTATTTTTTTTTTAATTTATCTTTTTCGACTTAAAAAAAAGTTTTTTTTTGGCGTAATGTGCAGAATTTACTTTTTCCAGAACTCTAGAAATATTAAAAAGCTACTAAAAAGTTTTAGTTTTTATGTTTTTCATACAGTTAACTATTAGATTTTTTTTTCAGAACAGTTTATATTTTTTTTTTAACAATCAACTTTTTCGACCATTTGAAAAAATATTTTTACGTAATTTTGCATAATTTATTTTTTAATTTTCAAGAACTCTGGAACTATTGAAAAGCTACTCAAAGCAGGTTTTTATTTGCTACATATCGTATGCTACGTGAATCTGGCAGAACCTTTTTTCCTTTTCAAGAACTCTAGAGCTTTTGAAAAGCTATTCAGAACAACTTTTTTTCTTGCGTCATGCCGTATGCCGACTTCCTGGATATCATTCCAACCTAACATAACCTACATTGATATCGCTTATCGCTTTCCTTTATTCGGAAAATATTGCATACTCTCTATCTGCTTACGCAAGTTTTTCCAATTACATATTTTAGACTCATTTTTATTTCCTACAAATCACAGTATATTTACTTATATCACTTATGAACCGAATGCTTTTAGTCATTCGCGGACTTACCTGCATTAGGTGGAAATTCGTAGAAATACGCTGATCTTGGACTTAAGCAACTGTAATTATAAATAAGAGATTACAAATGGTTAGGTGTTGATCAAAGTGTAAGCGAAAGTAGAAACAAGAAATATGTGACGACTTACTTTTGCTGCAGAAAATTCAAGTGTGCTACGTTTGGCGGGAGAGTTTGATGAGTTTGCAGCGCCTGATGTTGCTGCTGTTGCAAATGTTGTTGGCTACCTGGCACTAATGGTAATTGCTGTTGCTGTTGTTGTGCTTGGGCCTGTTGTTGTTGCTGCAACGTATGTTGTTGCAGTAAATGCTGCTGCTGGGTGAGGCCGCCACGTGCAACACGCGGCGCAAATACACCGTAACCGAACCCGTAGATCTCGTCCTCCTCCTTGTCCGACAGACAACTCGAAGGCTGCAATAAAGACGGAAGAAAGCCAAAATAAAACAAGATTGGCTATTTTATTTAGACAAGTACACTTGTATGCATATTTGTAATACATATGTATGTATACATATATGTATGAATATTTATGCAAGGAAAACATAGTAAATTAAATTGTAAATTACTATTGCAGCCACAATTTAAGCTGCTACAATCAAGAACGAAAACAAAGTTCAATTTGGTAGAGGAGGGTAAGGCGAGCTTGAAACTTGTAACAACCGCTAGAAAGTGGCAATAAAATAAATGAGAACGAAAAAAGAAACTGGAATGACAAACAAAGAGTATAAATATTTTCTTAGTTGCTCGGCGCAAAATACTTGTGAACTGCTGAACTTCTATTGGATGGCCGTAAACATGGTCGAAAAGTAATTTGAGAAGCTTTCATGCTGCCAAGTGCTTGGCAACTTTTACGCTAAAACGGATTAACACCTTCGAGAGTTGATGTTAGTAAAAATAAAAAAAAATCTAGAAAATTTAGAGCAAGGCAACACAAGTAAGAACAACATTTAAAAGAAAAAAGTAAGGAGCGAAAATATAAGAATATTAATAAGGAAGGCTATAAGGAATGCTTATCAAACAGAGTTAACATTGGTCGGAAAATAACAAACCCAAATACCTGAATTTGCCTTTAGCACCCTCACTGATTGCAAGAATACTCAACACATTCTCCGGCCAATGAAAATGAGAGGAGAATAAAAGCAAAAATTCTATGAAGAAAATAACTCAGAAATACCACAAAATTATTTTGATGTTATTTAGGTACAAACACACATACATGTTTATTCAAATCAGATTAATTTGGCCAAACAAAGTGATAAAATCACATTTGGCATATAAATAAAACTGCTAAAAAGAAGTACATACATGTATGTAAAGTGGCGGTCAAAAATGGATGAATTGTGTTTCGTTTCTACTACTTACAAAGTTTTTCAAGCGCAAATTTTTTTGATATATTTTTATAAAAATATTCATGCTTTAACTAAAACCATACACATCACCAGGGAACGGATTTTATGGAAATTGCCTTTTTTTCTGCTAAAGAGATCAAGTATATTTGATTAAGAATGTCCACGATTTAGCTTTCCCTGATTCCATATATACACATTTTATGTTGCCTTTTTTTGCCTTTTTTAAGATATTTGCCTTTTTTTTTGCCTTTTTTAAGATATCTGCTTTTTTCTGCCTTATAGAAGTGCAGGGACCTCTTGCCGAATTTGAATTGGAAACATTCAAATCCGTTTTCTCAGCTAACGTAGGCTTGGAGACAATCAGGGGTGTGAATAAAATTGTAAAGGGCGAGGAAAACGCCCTTATTCCTGATAATATGAACGTTTCAAACGTTCCATATTTAAATTGGGCTCCACTTGTATCAACTTACGTCGAGCACACATTTAGTATATTCAAAGCTTTTCTTCGCGAAAATCGAATGAAAATGCTGCCAGAAAACTGCAAAATGCATCTTGTGGTTCAATGTTACTACAACTATACAGATTAAAGTTTTATGAGTTAAAAAACCCGAATGGATAAAATAGTCAAAGATTCAAAGTACAAATTTTTCATATAATGAAACTACATAGTTCATAGTTTTTATCTTTTTCTAAAATAAATGTATTTTTTGATTGTTCTTCGTATTTTCTGTCTTTTTAGTGCCTTATTTTGCTTTTTTTGCAATACCTAGTGCCTTTTCCTGCCTTTTTCGCTATTTTGTTTTGCCTTTTTTGCAACACCTAGTGCCTTTTCCTGCCTTTTTCGCTATTTTATTTTGCCTTTTCCAGCCTATTTCGTTATTTTATTTTGCCTTTTTTATAGGTTTTTAGGTCCTAAAAATCCGTTCCCTGCGCATCACAATTTCAAACTTTATGCAGAATTTAGAAAAAGTCCACAAATTTTTATCTAAATTTCAAGCTTTTGAGCCAGAATTTTTATAAATTTTTTAGGTATACAGTTAACAGTCTTATAAAATTTAAAGAAATAAGTGCAAGTTTTGAGCGGCTAAATAATCGCATTGATTTGTAATATAGTTTTTTTTTTTTGTTGACGGCGTTTTGCACTTTCTTCCACGTAAACATGAGTTTCTTGTGGAAGAATATTAGTCAACGCCAGTTTTCCTAAATTTCGCAATTTTTATGAAAAAAAAAAACGCAAATGCCGTCAGAGCAAATTTTATAAGCCTGGTAACTGCATCCCCAAAATATTTGTAAAAATTCTGGTTAAAAACTCGAGATTTAGATAAAAATTGTGTGTGATTTATACGGTTTTTGTTAAAGCATGAACCATTTTTTATTAAAAAAATATCAACCAACTTGAGCTTGAAAAACATTGTGAATATTAAAAACGAAACACCATTAATCGTCTTTTGACCGCCACTGTATGTAAGCATTTACGAATACAAGTGCACACAGATATAATACACGTTGCGAGCCTCCTCACAGCTTACTGCAATAAATTTGTACTGTACGTCTAAATTTGGATTGAGGAATGGATTGCTTGGGGACCACAAACACACAGTTGTGGCTTTCAGTAGATTTAAAGATAAACTGGAAAATACACAGTGGTGGTACAAAAATAAGGTGAAGGGAAGGAAGTGAAAAAAGCAAAATGCCGACAGCAATTCATTCGAATTGAGTTAGATGTAAAAACATACTTATCCCCCATACATACATATATTGCAAGAAGCAAAAATATATTTAATGTAAGCGTTTGGTTAACTCTTCAAGTTCGGTCTTCGTAGCGGTTTGAAAGCAAGTAACCACACACATACATACAATTTTTGTTCCTTGACTTTCATTTAATCCTCAAGGACGTGTCAACACAAAGCAATTGTTTTTAATTCATGGAATTCCTTACTTCTGAATATACATGCATATATCAATACCTTCATATGCACATATGTACGCAAGTGTTATCCTTCAGTTAATTTTACATTTATTTATGTAAAAATTGATTATGAATTTGTCTTAAGTGAATTTTCGAAGACAAAAATTAAACCACTTTCGTTGTAAGTATGTAAAAAACGTAATTTTAAACTAAGGAAACCGAATAACCATACTTAGTATCTAATAAATTGGAATGGAATGAATACACCACAATGGACTTTTCAATACGTAGAAAGTTCAAACTAAAGCCTTGAGTTATAAATTTGGAGTATTCTTTCAACCGAGGCATATTAAAGATAGCGGCAAATCTCCGCCATATTTTTATTATGAAAGAGATCATTCGTTGTTTGAAAGCGGCATCATGTTTAAGCCAGGCTGAAGTTTGGCTAGTTGAGATACCGGTTCGTCCGCTGGCCTAGAACTATAACCAAATTTTTATATTAATAAAAAAAATCATGAGCCCCTGTACCACTTGGGTCCGCGAGACAGTCATGGAATTAATGTTAAAATGAGTCTCTTCTAGGGAAGGGAAAGATAATGTACTTTATTGATTCAATATCATCCTCATCACGGCAACTGCAGTAGGTGTCATTGGCCGGTAGAGCCGTCTTAATAGCATGTCAGTGGCCGTTTATAAGTCCGTAACTTGCCTGAGTAGAGGACGTTCCAGACGAATGAATGTGTGGGACCATCTCTTATCAGGTCCAAGTGGATTCTGTCAACCATTTGCCTTTTCGAACAGTGTTATTTAAGTCATTATTTGCATAACGATAGAGGTGTGCCCTCATGTCTCTATGGCATGGCACCTGAAGTACATCCGTAGCAAAATTACTAATTAAGAATTTTCCTGCATTCTGCAGCCATTATTGAGACTTTCACATCAGTACAGAGACCCGATAGCTGCTTAACTATCAGAATAGATCGTTGCGGAAGGCAGGTTAAGGGAGGATAGGGTAACCCAAAGTTCAGCCTCTTTTATAGCTGCTTGGAAAACGCTGCAGTGGTATGGCAACAATGATTTAGTGAGAGGTTTTTCGAGCGTCCCTCTTCCTACTTTTAGATGTAGTTTGTATATCGATAGCTGAGTGGAAAATCGACCTATCTCGGAAGCCAGTTCGAAAACGCCCTATCTCAGAAAACATCTCAAGAACGGCCTACTTCAGAATTTGATTGAAAAACGCCGTATTTCCGAATTTGGTTGAAGAACACCCTATCTCAGCTTATTTTCAATGTATTTTCATTTGAGATGGGGCGTTATTCAACCAAATTATGAGATTGCGTGTTTTCTAATAAAATTCTGAAATAGGGCGATTTTCAATCAAATTCTGAAGTAGGGCGTTCTTGAAAAGTTTTCTGAGATAGGGCGTTTTCGAACTGGCTGCCGAGATAGGTCGATCTTCCACTCAGCCATCGATATGCTTGTAGAGTTATCTTGTAGATCCAAGACATAATCATCTTCCCCATCGTTGTTTTAGGGAGTATGTGTAGAGAATTTGTGAGGCGGTGTAGTGTAGTCCGAAGAGCACGAATGTTTGGGGCAGTTAATTGTTGAAGACTGGTGTGGTATTTTATAACATTACAGCTTGTCTGAACTTTTCACAAAGGTCCGCGGGCAGGAAGTTAAGTAAGGTTCGTAGGTCTTTAGCTTGTATGCCGCACTTTGGATCTTGATAAGTCTAGAATTAGTGGCCTACGTAATCAGTTATGTCCACCAAACGGCATATAATTAGACAGTGTACTGTGGGAAGTTTGAGACACCATTTCTTGACTAGGTCGTTTTACAGGCCCTCTCTGCGGTAACCGCCTTTCTGGCCCACTCCTCAACGTTGCGTTTCCAGGTTAGTTTTATGTCAAAGTGATGCCCAAGTATTTCACTTTTATAGAAAAATTGCATGGGAAATATTTTCGTAGAACATTTTAACCCATTAGATCCAGCCTGAAGGGGTTATTTTGACCCTTACTTCAAGAAACTCCACAAGAAGCATTGATTTTAACCGTTTTCTCGACTTTTTTGTAAGCTACTTAGGCCGCTGTGGTGTAGTGGTACGCAGTGCGCGCTTCCACTCCGCAGCACCCGGGTTCAAACCCTGGTCA